AATTGAGCATGTGATTCTTGAAATTCACGGAAAATGAAGAGAAGTCTCTCTTAGTTAAGCTACACAAATTAGATGGTCATGACTCTGAAGTATGTATCTTTCAGATCTTGGTAGACACAGCAGTAGAAATTCTATAGGCTGAGAGAGGGAAGTGAAAGTCCTTAATAAGCTTACAACTCCAATTTTTATATCTGAGTCAAATTTCTAATTTGCTAAAAGTTTCCTATTTAATGTATCCTTTTTTTTTTCTTTTTTTCCTGTTTATCCCTATGAATCTATATGGCACAGCTGTTTTCTTGTCACTTTAAGAGTTGAACTTTAGGTCTTTGACTCTGAGCCTGAATGACTTGACAGCAGTGATTTACTGAGGAAATTTTAAAAAAAGTTAGTCCTTGTGGGAAAGCAATCCATGGTGTTAGAAAGATGTTTCATTCTGGGCTGGCGTGCAGTTGTTGATTTGATCCTTCAATGGATAATTCTTGCTATTATATAGCTCCCCAGAGGCAGCTGGGGAGGCTGTGGACTGTTGGTTCTTTTGAGTTTATTCTACAGAGCCGCCACGGAGAGTCTCCCTGGTGTGAACAATCGGAGAGGTAAGGGGAGTCAGAGGTTTTCTGGAAAACTGAAGATGACTGCATTGGGAGCTGCATTATTTAGTGGTAGTGAGCATTGTGTCACAGAAATAAAATACTTTTTCACTTAAAGCATTGGTCCTTTGTGTTCTATTTTCTACAGCATTTATACACAAGTCTTAGAAACATAAGTGTGCTCTATCTTTTCTGAAAAGTACATGATTTAGAAGAAAAGGTTATGTCTGAAACATAAGATGGCAATTTTTCTCAGTTCCTGCTTGGCGTGTTGGCATCTTGGTTGTGGGATGGGTTGTTTTTGCATTGTTAGATATGATCCTTTCTTATTCTGGCACCAAGCGAAAGAAATAACTTGGCGCAAGTGCCTTAGAAATGACCTTAACTGAGGATTTGTAGCATGTGTCAATAAAGATGTCTTCATTTCCAAGCACTGTCCCGAAACCACTTTCTTAAATTTGATCATTAAAATCTTTCGCAACTCCGTGCTTTCGCTGAGTAAGCAGGGTGACTAAACAGGCATGGAGCCAACTAATGCTGGGTGAAGCCAATGAGCAGACAGCCTTTCCGCAGCTAGGATAGGGTGGTGCACATTCCACCCCAACGATCCACCTCCACCATTTGGGCATGTGTGGTGGTTGGCAGGTGAGAGGGGAAGGTGGAGAGAGGCAAGGATAAATGGCCAGGGAAGAAGAAAAGAGAAACTTGAAGATACAAAATTTGACCTCATTCTGTCTAAAGAGCTGTGAATGATAGAGGCAGTGATAGACGCTTGGACCATTCTGAAAGGCCAGTGGCATTTCTTTTGAAAAATACCAGAGCACTGACTCAAGTGTGCTATTCGCTATTTAAAGAGAGGTATCAAAGCAGCTCAGTGGAGGAGTGTTTTAGGAGAAAAACAAACAGATAAGAAGGAAATTGAATGAACAGGGAAATTAACATGAGGCAGAGAAGGAAAGCGGTTAAGTGAAAGCAAAAAGGGTCAGTGAATATGCCCTATTCGAAAACGTTTCCAACTTGAAAAATCTCATATTGGAAGGTGAGTTAAGGGGCATGTGAATGCTGTTCAATTCAGCACCAAGGTTTGGATAGGGCCGAAGAGCCTGTGATTTTAATGTGCATGGTGTTTTCTGCTCTTTTCGATAATTATATTGTTCTTCAAAGAGGAAGCCAAGTAGGCTGTGGAGATTTTCCTGAGAAAAAGTTCTGCATTGTCTCCACAGGGAGGCATCTCTTAAGATGAAAGAAGCCTTGATCATGATTTTCAGGTCATTTTACTCCTCTCATAGAATATTCCGTAGAGGTTACAGCAGGTACTGCAGCGGTTCCCTGAGGTGGGGTGGCTCCCTCCAGGGAAGAGGATCATGTTGGTGGAGGAAGAGATGGAGCTTTCCATAGCTGAGGGGGCAAATGGAAGACAATGAGGCTGGGCTCAGGCTGGAAGCAGGAAGTAACTTCCTCAAAGGGGCTTCCCTGGGGTCTGAGAGAGAAGATTCTCAAGGATTAAGGCAAGTCACTTCTGAGGGCCATTTCTACATCCCAGATGGATGTGCACTCTTAGAAGCTGCTGTAGTGGAAGAAAGTGAGGAAAAGCATTCTGAGTCCTGCTTTCAGTCAGAACAGTGTGCTTTCCTGTGAACTTCTCTGTGTAGTCCCCACACACCCAAGGTGAGAAGAGAAGTGAATCCTGTAGTGTGCTGCCCAGGCCTGGCCCACGTTACACTGGGGTGCACATTTCCCCACTCACCAATGTTGCCTGCTGATGGCTCACAGTCCCCTGACAGGGGGTGCTTCCATCCATGACAGGGACCCAGTGCCCCAACTTAACACAGAGCCCTGAAGACCAGCCCAGCTAAGAGCTCCCAGACAGCCTGAAGAGACCAGGGGCACAACTGACTCCAGATTCCACTCTTCCTTTGTCCAGTCCTGCTGCCCTCACCCCCCCTACAGGTGTTGGTCCCCTGTACCTCCCTGATAAACCAGAGGCACATGCTGTCCTTCCAGAAGTCTGTTTCCAAGAAAATCTGACATACAAACAAGAGAAAGTCCAGAGATGTTTGAAAATCACTGGACTAAACAATCCTGTAGTTCTTTGCCTTTGTGTATCTTTGTTTATTGAAGATATATTTAATCAGAATCCATTATGTTCCAAAGATATTAATGATACTATCTGCCCTGAGATCAAGATCACCGTCATGATGCCTTCCATCCTTCCTTCTAGTCTCCACAGGCAGCATGGATCTCATCACCGTAGTTAATTTTCCTTTCACATCACCTGCACCTCCACAACTTGCATTGCCCTCCAGTCCTCTGGTCCCCCAGTTGTCTGCAACACCCTTATATCCTCAGTCTCTTCTTCTAGAGTAACTTTTACCTCCCTGCTCTGTCTCACTTTTGTGAAACCCTTTGACCGAGACTTAGGCCTATCTCTTTTCTAGTTTATGACCATGTGTTTGGGCTTTTTAAAAAAATCCCCTGACTGTGCTATGTCATCAGACCATCAAATTTAAAATATATTGCATTTTCTTGGCTTTATAAAACTCTAGGACTTCTCCACCCTGCTCACTCTTAGCTCTTGACTTTGTTCCTGATTTCCCCAAAATATAGTAGCATTCAGAAGATAGCTAAGGTCCTACCACATCTGCACACTGCAGTGCACCTGGGCTAGTCCTTCCATCTTTTTTCCCCCTCCCTCCTTCTTCCTTCTTTCTTTCTTTCTTTCTTTCTTTCTTTCTTTCTTTCTTTCTTTCTTTTCTTCTTCCCTCCTGTACTTCCCCCCTCTCTCCCTCCCTCCCTCCCACTCTCACTCCCTTCCTTCCTTTCTTCCTTCCTTTTTTTTCTGTCTTTTCCTTCCTCCTTCCTTTCTATCCCCTTCCCTCCTTTCCATTACCCAGAACTGAAACGTCTCTATAATCTTAGCTTAAATGTTTTGCTGTCCATGTATCACCAATTCCATTTCACTAGCATCCAAATTCCAATTTCTCTGTCCCTGGTAAGATGTGCCATCCATCAATCCTATCATCTTTCCTGTCCTTCATCACCCTCATATTCACTCTTCTTTGTTTAATCCATTTAAACTTCATTGTTTGTTATTGTAATCACTTTTGCCTGAACTCTAACCTCATCTATTTCTAACTTCACTGTTCAGCAAAGCCTCAGGGTATGATTAATGTAAATTTTTTGTCTGTTTTTCCCTGCTGGGTCAGTTGAACTAGAAAAACAACCAGGCAGACTGATTGTACCTTAAATTCATATCAGTGAACTTTGAAAAGAGTATCTTAATAGTACATATGTGTAGTATATCATATGTACACTCCCTCCTGCGCGGCGTTTGCGCTCGTCTCCCTGTTCAGCTCGGCCGCGCTGGCTCTCCTCGCCGCCGCGCGTTTCCCGCCAAAAGCTCTCGCGCCAGTCGTCCGCCTCGGGAGTCGTTGCGTCCGCGCGGAGGCAGTGCGCCGGTCAGGACCGCGGACGACCGACCCGAGTGCCCGCCGTGTGCCCCCCTACCGCCCTTCCATGCCCAGCCACACAGCTGCGCCCAAGCTTGTCTAGCAACCGCCCAGCCAAGTGCTCTGGATGCTGGGCCCTGAGGGAGGCGAAGGCTATGTGGTCAAGCTCCGTGGGCTGCCCTGGTCCTGCTCAATTGAGGACGTGCAGAACTTTCTCTCCTACTGCACGATTCGTGATGGGGTCGCAGGTGTCCATTTCATTTACACTAGAGAAGGCAGGCGGAGTGGTGAGGCTTTTGTTGAACTTGAATCCGAAGATGATGTCAAAATGGCCCTGAAAAAAGACAGGGAAAGTATGGGGCATCGGTACATCGAGGTGTTCAAGTCCCACAGAACCGAGATGGATTGGGTGTTGAAGCACAGCGGCCCCAACAGCGCCGACACCGCCAGTGGCTTTGTGCGGCTCCGGGGACTCCCGTTTGGGTGCACAAAGGAAGAGATCGTGCAGTTCTTCTCAGGGCTGGAGGTCGTGCCAAACGGGATCACACTGCCTGTGGACCCCGAGGGCAAGATCACAGGTGAAGCTTTTGTGCAGTTTGCCTCACAGGAGCTCGCTGAAAAGGCGCTTGGGAAACACAAGGAGAGGATCGCGCACAGGTACATTGAGGTGTTCAAGAGCAGCCAGGAGGAGGTGAAGTCTTACTCAGATCCACCTCTGAAGTTCCTGTCTGTGCAGCTGCCAGGGCCCTACGGCAAGCCTGGCACTGCACGGAGATACATTGGCATCGTGAAGCAGGCAGGCTTGGAGAGGATGCGCTCTGGGGCCTATAGTGCAGACTACGGGCATTACGAGGAGCACAGCGGCCTCAGCGATGGGTATGGCTCCACCACCGGCCTGTTTGGGAGAGACCTCAGCTACTGTCTCTCCAGCATGTATGACCACAGATACGGAGATGGGGAGTTCACAGTGCAGAGCACCACCAGCCACTGTGTTCACATGCGGGGGCTGCCCTACAAAGCCACTGAGAATGACATCTACAACTTCTTTTCACCATTCAACCCTGTGAGAGTGCATATCGAAATTGGACCCGATGGCAGAGTGACAGGCGAGGCTGATGTGGAGTTCATCACCCATGAGGAAGCCGTGGCGGCCATGTCTAAGGACAGGGCCAACATGCAGCATCGCTACATAGAACTCTTCCTCAGTTCTACCACAGACAGGGGCAAGCATCAGGGCTTACAGCAGCCAGGTGATGCAGGGTATGGGTGTGTCGGCCGCCCAGGCCACCCACAGCGGCCTAGAGAGCCAGTCAGTGAGCGGCTGCTACGGGGCTGGCTATAGTGGTCAGAACAGCATGGTGGGGGGATGACTAGTAGTTTAGGGAGGGGGGATGACTAGTCGCTTAGGGAGGTTGGAGTCTTCAATTAAATTGTCACAGGCAGCCGACACACAGCGAAGAGCAGTTTATGACTAGAGGAAGCTCTGGGACCCATTTTGCACCATGAGTTTGTGAAATCTCCTTGGATTAAAAAATTACCTCTTCAGTGTTTTCTTATGCAAAATTTCCTTCTAGCATGTGATATTGAATAAACTAAAACTATTTTCTTCCTTTCACTTTTCTCAATTAACATTTGGTAGTATACTTGGAGTGGTGTTTCCTGAGTTAAGTAGTTTTAAGTATGTTAAGGAAATGTGGATCCTTGGTGTCGACCCGTGAACACCCTGGGGAGATGTACTTTTTGGACAACTCAAAAGGTGCTAGATCCCTAATTCAAAGAGGAACATTTCTTATGTTTGTTCATTCTAGTTTATATTTTCATTTAAATAAATCTTAGGTTAAGTTTAACCTTCTTAAAAAAGAGTTAGTTTTGAGAATTGAGACACAATACTAATGCTGTAGGAATTGGTGAGGCCTTGACTTAAAGCTTTCTTTGTAATGTGATTTCCTTTTGGGTATATTTTGCTAAGTGAAACTTGTTAAGAAAATTTTTGTTAACTAAATTTTTTTCTTAAAATAAAGACTTTTTCACAATGACTGGCACAGATTATCTGCTTAGCAAACAGCAAAATGGGTAGTTGGCAATAATTCATTTTAATCCTAATGTATTTTGGTTTGAATGTGAAAATAATATATCAGATCTATAATCTCCCCTCTATTAGAATTGAGGCTAAAATAAAAGTCATTAATGTTCAACCTGTAAAAAAAAATATGTACACTCCTTGATGGAATTGTTGCATGTATATAACCCATGTTCATTCTTTTTTAAATTTTTTTATGTATTTGCTACAGGGTCTCACTATGCAGCTTGGAGTCATGGAGATTCTCCTAGTTTCAGCCTCCCCAGCTCTGGGATTACAGGCATGCACCACCATGCCCAGTCTTGGTGGCCAGCTCAACCTGTTCAGGGGTGGGGCCATTGTAGCATGTAGTGCCAGGGATCAAACACTGGTCCCTGCCCTTGCCAGGCAGGTGCTTAGACCACTAAGCTATCTTACCCACCCTTCACTCCTTTTTTGATTCCCTCACCTTCCTTCACTCTTCCCTCCATTTACCTCTTGACCTCCTTCCCCTCTGAGAAAGATGTGTCTCATTACTCCCTGGTATCTATCTTTCATTTTGCTCTCCTTTTATTCTGGGTTTCTCATGTAAGATAAACCATGTGATAGTTAAGCTTGTGTGTCTGAGTTATTTTCACTTAGCATTGTAATCTCAAGATGCAGCCGTTTCCTACAATGACTCAAGTTTTTCTTTGTGGCAATGAAGTTTTAATGGGTTCTTCATGCTTGCTAACGTGTCTATTGAGTTTCTCTCCTTAACTCAATCTCATATTCTTTCTGATAAACATTTTATCTTTGCTCATCATTAACCTTTTCCTTAGGAAGACAAGAGCATTCAGAGGACAACTTAGATGCACTTATACTGTGTCTACTTACCTCTCTCGTTCTTTTTTCTTCCCTCCCTTCCTTTCTCTCTTACTCCCAACTTTCTTTCTTTCTTTTTTTCTTTCTTTCTTTCTTTCTTTCTTTCTTTCTTTCTTTCTTTCTTTCTTTCTTTCTTTCTTTCTTTCTGTTTTGGGAATCTTCAAATACTTCCAAGACTGTGCATTCATAATTTTGATCTGTAGTCAGTTTGGTTCAAAACAAACAGTGATTTTCTTTCAACAGCTAGCAAACCATATGCTTTGGGTCGTTTTATCTACATCATTTAATAAAGCTTCCAAATCTCTTAGCAAATAACAGTTGGGAAAAAGGGTCTGCCTGTAACTAAGGTGTAGTCCTGAAAACATAATAAAAAGAAGGGGCCAAAAACCCTGTGGGAATGAGGCTCAGCCTGACACAAATGCCACCAAGGCCAAAAGTAAATAGGAACCTCCCAGAGCAAGGACAACACTTGTGTCAGCTAGCTCTGAGGACAGGCTCTGAGGAAGAGAAGCTACCTAGCCCTAGCAGATCTGTGCCAGACAGTGGTCAGCAAGTTCAGGGTAAATCCTAGACACAGGAAGCTGGAGCTCTGACAAACACCTAGGAGAAACCGAGATAAGCCTGAAATTGGTGACATGCAGTGAAACTTACAATTAGATAAAAATAATGAATAGGCAAAACACCTACTCCCCAGGGAATAAAATTGCGTTTTCCACTTAGATGCGGTCATTTGGACATTGTTATCTTGCAAAAATAGGAGTTTTGTAGGGCTTTTGCAGAAAGTATTCCTTAAATTTATGTTCTTCCTATTAATCTTGCACTATTTGCAGTTTCACTGTGTCAGGGAAGCAGCATTTATTTTAAAGCATGAATAGAGTTTCTCTCTCAAAGGCATCAGACGTCTGTCCCAGGAACCCTAGAATGAGCTCTACTCTTGATTAAGGGTGACTATCCAGATATATATTTACTTACAAAAATTAAAAGACAAGGTTATTTCTCAAGGAATTAAGTGAATTTCTTGAGTAAATAAACTGAACCTTTGCATCCAGAATCTTGTGTAGATTTTTATTTCATTTTTCCTTAAACAACCTTACAATGACCGGCTTGATAACACCGTGTTCTAAAGCACCTGCTTAGAAAGCACACAGTAGCTGGAGTTCCATCCCCAGCATGCTATGCCAGCCCTGCCCCTGGGGCTCACTTAAATGGCAATTGAGACTGGGGGTGGTGGCATGGCCCTGTAATCCCAGTGCCTGGGAGGCTGAAAAACAGGAAGATCACTACGAGTCTGATCTATGTAGTGAGACTCTGTAGACCTTGTATCCCCTGTAATTCATGCAAAAAAAAAAAAAGACAATTACAAATTTCTTTACCTATCACCCTGCTATCAACAATTCAATTCCCTCTTTCAATGGAAACTCCTGAGAAGCATGAATGACACCCTCCCTCTATGTTCTTGCTTATAATTTTTTCTTCAGCCACTTTTAATTAACTTCTACTACTCCCATTCAATTGAAACCATTCTGATGCTGTAGCCACCAAGACTTGTTAACTGAAAATGAATGATAGATACACTTTCTGGGTCTTATCTCACTCTATTAACCGTGTTGGCTACTTCTATCACCAAACCATATCTAGTAGCTTCCTCTCCTGTTTGGCTTCCCATGTTTATTGGGCTCTTGGTTCATATCACTATACTTCAAGTAGATCATTAGTTTTGATCTGCAGTAGGCTACCATAATTTTTTGAGTCTTAGGCTTTAAAATCTAGTTCCTTTTGGGCAACTGGACAGTATACTTATTAGGTATTTGAACAATAATCCTTCCAAATATCCTCATTTTTTTCCTCTCCAAGTACCTCCTAACTCACCCAAATATTTTCTACAGGACCCATCCACATCTCATCTTTCATACTTTTCTTTATAAGACCAGAAATAATTCTGGAACCTTTTCATTCTTCCTTGTCCTTCTTATTGCCCTTTGGGCCCTTCTCATTATGTATCTGGGTTGCTATAATAGTCTGTCCAGGGTTCCACTTAGGAGGAACCACTTTATGGAATCACTTCAATATTATCGCATGGTGGTATCTCATGGGAAGTGAGTGAGATTAATAGTTACAAACATAAGCAATTCCTGTTCTTAAACCACTTCCTCAGTCTCACTTGCCACTTATAACAAATGAGAACTACAAAGTCCCTCCTTCTTTTTTGGACTTCTTTGATAAATAAATAGGAGGCAATGGTTCCATAGTGTTTCAAATAAAGTAAGAAAGAGGATTGTTACTGCTTGCACTGCTCCCATCCTTCCTTTCTACTCCATGTGGAGTGGCAGTGGGTCAGGGTGTCTGCTCTGCCACAGTCCTGCATACAGAGGTTGGCTGCTGAGCTATGGGTGATCCTGACCTGCTCTGTACCATACTGCTGAGGAAGCCAATGGGTTCCATCTTCACACAGAACACAGGAGCTGTGTGGCTGTGTCTGGGGTAGACCTTAGCACAGATGTTCATAAGGAATGAGGGAAGACTGGAGTGAAGCCAGTTGGTCATTCTCTGCTCTTGTTTTACCAATATTCCTACACCATGGCTGCCCAGAAAAGGGAGAACTCAAAAATTTTACCTGATGCCAAAACAAAGATTCATGATTGAGTTATCACCCATGAGTCCTGTTTACTTTACATTGATTTAATGCAGAAAGAAGATTGTGCCATGTTGTTTGTTTCCCCATCTGTCTTCTAGCCATACTGGCCTTCTGGTAGTTTGTTCTTTCTCATACCACTGGGCTTTTGCACTTGCTGTTCCCTAAGACTGGAACTAACCTTTTTCTTTACTCCTTCTTCATACTTTGTTACTTACTTTTTATTGTTCATATTTCTATAGAGATGTCTTCCCCCCAGGTAGGAATTTGTCTTATGATTTCTTAGGAAATCATTTGCTTCACAGCCCATTGCCTATTTCGCAATACAGAATCATTTGGCTCACTGCTTGGTTAACAATTGCCCTGTTCCCACTGAAGTACAGGCAACACGAGAGCCCAGGACCACACCTGCCTCTTCCATTGTGTTTAATCCCATGGCTTATGCATCAGTCAGATACTCAGCACACAGATATTGATTTCATGAGGAATAGGGTGGCTCAGTACTGTCTGGACGTGGGACATTTTCTCCACCCAAACACTTTACTTGTCTCATGCTAATTTTCATGCTAACTTTTAAAAAAGTTACTGGCTTGCATTCAGTGAGCTCTTTATCTCTGACAATAGTGCTAGAAAAGTGTGCAGAGAAGGGTCATATTTTTCTTCCTTTAACATTCTTTTGAAATAAATATCATGAATTGGACTCAGAGTGTCCCAGTTTTTTTCTAATAGCCTATTATACATTGCTAGTGCATAAATCTGTCATCTTGACAGATTTCTTCAGTATATTTTTAGTTCACACTTCTTTGGGATGTGCT